GATATCACGAAGAAATAGTATTCTACATCTGTTTGATTGCCAAAACACTAATACTGATTGCCAGTTTAAATTCCATTGATAAGAAATCCTACCATTGTTAAATAGGAAAATAAAACATGGTATAGAAAGAGTAAGATTCACTTTAATTTAATGAATTATACTATGAAATTCTACATATTCTTCAGTGTTGCTAAATAGTGAAAGTGATAATGATGCAATTTCTCAAAGGCAGTCAGCAAAATATAATACTAATATTTCATGACTTTTGACGTAAAATCCTTCATTAGAAAACTTCAACTTTTGAAAAATGCAATATTGCCACTTTAAATCTATGACTAGTGGACTACCTAAATACTAGTACTACTCTAGTATATACAAGATACATTATTGAAGGCCTCTAATTAAAAAGAAGGTCAGGTTATATATTTAAATAAATAATATAAAAACATGTATGCATTGCTACTTTAAATGATGTGGCAAGAAATACATCCAATCATACTACTCAGTCACAATCTTAAAAAATAGGGTAAATTTTGGAATGTAATATTTACAAAAATGTTATATTGCCACTTTAACTATTACTATGAGATTCCAGCAGTTGAATAATACAAAATACTTTACTTTTAATCATACACTCAGTCACAATCTTAAAAATAGGGTAAATTTTGGAATGTAGTATTTACAAAGATGTTATATTGCCACTTTAAGTTAATGGCATGACTATGAGATTGCAGCAGTTGAATAATACAAAAATACTTGACTTTCAATCTCAAACACTAAGTCACAATCTGACAATATGCTATATTGTCAAATAAAATATTTACAAAAATGTTATATTGCCACTTTTAGTTGACATGACTATGAGATTGCAGCAGTTGAATAATACAAAAATACTTGACTTTCAATCTCAAACACTAAGTCACAATCTGACAATATGCTATATTGTCAAATAAAATATTTAAAAAAATGTTATATTGCCACTTTTAGTTAATGGCATGACTATGAGATTGCAGCAGTTGAATAATACAAAAATACTTGACTTTCAATCTCAAACACTAAGTCACAATCTGACAATATGCTATATTGTCAAATAAAATATTTACAAAAATGTTATATTGCCACTTTTAGTTAATGGCATGACTATGAGATTGCAGCAGTTGAATAATACAAAAATACTTGACTTTCAATCTCAAACACTAAGTCACAATCTGACAATATGCTATATTGTCAAATAAAATATTTACAAAAATGTTATATTGCCACTTTTAGTTAATGGCATGACTATGAGATTGCAGCAGTTGAATAATACAAAAATACTTGACTTTTAAACACTCAGTCACAATCTGACAATATATTGTCAAATATTGTATTTATAAAGATGTTATATTGCCACTTTAAGTTAATGTCTTGATTCCAGCAATTGAATTATACAAAAAAAACTTTTAATGTCATCATTCAGTCACAACCTGATTATATGCTGGAAAATATATATATTGGGGAATGTTATATTTATAATTAAATATGGGATATTGGAACTTTAATTTAACATCATGACTATGAGATTTAAATACTATAGTAAAACAACAGCATGAGACATTTTGTCTTAGCTAGAAATGTTCTTGAATGATAGGCTACATTTCAAGAGACTAGTAATATTGATAAAGATAACTTTGGCAATAACATTATCTGAGAACATTATTTTAATATAAAGAACATTTGTCGCCACTTAAATATCATCAACTATTTGTGATGAAGTCCATGATAACTTATGATAATATAAAATGATATGTACATGTAGCTTGACATTTCTTTGCTGCAATAAGTAAACTGCAGCAGTTACTGTCAATAAGTTTGAGATTCATTGTACAAAATGTTCACTTTTTTACCAATGGTGGAGATAGGTTGCATAAAAATGCACCTATGCCAAGCATTTGATTCATTAATGGCTTAAGAGTTAGTGGAATTATGTTTCCAATCAAACGGAACCACTTAAGTCGTCCTATTGCCCGCTCTACATGGATCCTGAGTTTTGCTATGGCCCGGGTTTTCTTAATTTCACGTGTGTTTAGTCGTTTACCCTTCCCATGTTTGGCCTTATGAGTGAATGGTGGCATGTTAAGAGTGGCTTTCTTTGGCAGAAGAAGATCCTGGATAGTAAAACCTCGATCAGCCATTATGCTGTCTCCTTCTTCAATGTTATCTATGAATCCTGAATCCTTCGTGATATATCTGTCAGAAGCATTGCCTCCATATAGTTTAGATATAAAGTTGAATGACCCCCAGGGGCTTACAGACAGCAAAACCTTGGCAGTGTTATGTGACTTATAAGTGCTATATGTGCAACTTTGGGCTGTTGGATTTGATGGCTTCTGAACAAAGAATTCACTACAGTCTATTATTGCTCTGGTGTTTGGATAGCTTCTCCTGAAACCTGTGGGTAAGTTTCTTTTAGTTGTTTTCTTTGAGGCCCACTTAATAAATGGAGAAAACACATTGTACATGACATTTATCCATGTTGAGAACACAGAGGAAGTTACGGTTGTAGAAACTCCAAATAAATCTGATGTAAACCACCCAAGAAGTCCAAGTCTAAATCTAACAAGGGTCATGATAAACTCCTCATAGTGTGTCATGATTCTCCTTCGGCCTTTCTTCTGCCCTCTGTTTGGCTTTAGTAATGGCTTTGTATTTTTTCCACCTTTCCAATAAATAAGGTTGGAAAAATTGGAGGTGGATTTGGCAATTAGTTGAAATAGTCCATCAAGCATAGTCCGGGAACAAATACCAGTATACTGTTTAATCGATTTGTCATTCTCCAGAACTTTCTCCATGAACAAATCCCTCCGAAGTTTTTCTTTATTTCCAAAGCGCTTATGGGATTCCATCATTTCATCAAACTGCAAACCGGTGCAGTCTGTTTGCGTTTCAATAGAGATGCCTTTGACAAACTTGAAGGGAACATCATAGTCATGTTCAGGATACGGGGTGTCTCTGATCTCAAATGACTCTCCACATTGGAATGGTTGATTTGTTGACTTCGGATATATTGTTACATTTGCCCCTACTGGTAGAAGATCCTGAAATTAAATAAGATTATATTAATTTAAGCAGACAAACCTGAAACACTGTTGATAAACTGCTAATACAGCATGGCATATCACCGATAAAAATGGAAATAAAGCTAGGGAAAGTTAAAATATGCAAATTAATTACTAGTATAGTATCTATATTAACCATTTTGAATAAAAATTCATTCCTATGATAGTTTTATGATAATATAAATTTTTTATAACTCAGAGAGTATGGCAAAATTGTCCTGCAAATGCGAACTTTTGTTGTAAAATGTGTCTTTTAAATCCCCAGAGATGATTTGTTACATTTAGTATTAACCCGGGACTTTGATATATTCCATATATTTATTTTATATACTTTGTTCCGTGTAAAACATTTCGTCTAGTGTTGCTGGGGGTAAAATGTCTTAATGTTTTGATTGTTTTGCTTATTAGGCCATATTCAAATCCGCGAAATTTAATAGGCGCAAAATTGCAATTTTGAAAGATCGCGAAAATTTATCAGATTTATGCTGAGATTACTAGTAATCCAAGGATCATACTAATTCAATGATTTTTGGATTAATTCTTGGATTAATCCCACTATGCATCATTACAATGACAAAATTTATCCGGATCGGATCGCGGATTGTACAAATTCACTGCCCCAGGAGTAGCAGGGGCATAGCCAGCAAATGTCATTAGGTGCCATTTTGGGGTTGGCATTTTAAATGATGAGAGCAACAAAAAGTTGGTCAGGAGGTTCCCCTTTTTAAATTTTCAAAAACATTTACATCAAGGTGCATTACAACATTAAAAGTTAATGATTTTTCAATAAATTTTACACGAAAATTGACTTTTCCTTTTTGAGGTAATACTGATACCCAAGTGATGGGATTGCACCCCCCCCCCCCGGCTATACCCATGTGTAATTCTACTTACACCATCAATGATATTGGTTGAAACACTCTGACTGCTAGATTCAAGGGAGTCAGAAGTTTCCACACCACTAGTCCCAAGATCAATTAGGTCTGTCGATGGTTTGAGGCCAGGCTGACTTGTTCTCCTAGTACTATACAGTTCTCCGAGACTTTTTCTCTTGACACTTTTACGCGGTAAATTATTTTCAATATTGGCCCTAAGCCTATTATCAGGTTCGCACTTATCACTATTCACATATCCATTATAATCGAATAATGTTGGGTATGGATTCTCACTTGTTGGTCTAGAGTCAATAAAATGCCGAGAACATAGAACAGCATGTGGGGCAGGTGTCCATGGTTTCCTATTATCTTTAGGGTCCACCCTTTTAGTCTTTCGTATCCAAATATCTCTATCATCATTTCGGGGGAATTCAAAAAATGAAATATTTTTCATCCATGGATGTTTCTCCAAGTTTTTTAATTTCCTACTATCACTGGTGCATTTCCCCGCTGCACAGTGCTTCACTGGCATTGTTCTGATCTTCCATCAGCCCTAAAGTATAGTTTTTTGATCGGGTCTATTCAATAATTAGAAAAATCTTCGAAGATTCAAAAATTACAATATTTATTTATTTCGATCTTCAATGGCGTCTGGGCAATTTCCGGGAAACTAGTGACGTCACTGGAATTGGGTGGCATTTTCAACCACAAATTTCTTCGGAGTAGGGGAATATATTTCAAAACGCATTGTTGTATATCTTAATTACGTACATATCTTTGGTTTGTGCAAATGCAACTCTACATAAATGTTTTAAAAAGCCGCTCTGCGGCATTGAAAATCACAACCCTGTGTAATCCAATGGGGAAAAACCCGGATGTAGACGAAGTTGTACCCCTGCGTGAGAGCTCTCCTGTCGGGAGGTAGCTACACTGAACTAAGTTGAATTTTATCGCGTATAACTCTATTAGACATATTCGCAATAAGAGTTCAGGTGGTAATTTACATAAATATTTCCCATGATGCATCGCTTCGGAAGGGACAAATTTTCATTGGCCCGCCGAACTCGCTTACTCTGAACGAAACGTCTAGAGATTGCAAAGTCAAAGGTCACGATCTGCTAATTTCATTGGTCGATGATTACATCATATAGCATCAAAATGGCGGACGATTACTCGAACAAAATTTCAACAAATTCTGATAAAACTAGCGTCAATCTTGACAAAATGACAGTTTCTCAGCTTAAGGACTACCTTAAACAAAGAGAGGTTTCAACATCTGACTATCGGAGAGATATGCTCGTCGGACTTGCGAAATTGGCGCATGAAATCCAACTTGAAAAAAATCCGGAAATAAATGAGGAAACATTTTCAACTGAATCGAGGAGAACAGTTAATATTGATGGAAAAACAATCACTTTTGAAGATCCCGAACAAATAAAAAATTGGAATATTGATCTAAAAACCGTACCGGACATTGAACTTTCCCACTGTTTCCACTATCTTCATACTGTTTGTGGATGGAATGCTGGAAGATTGGCAAATTATACCAAAGACAATGGGTTCAAACTTTTCAAAGATCGACATATTTCAGCAGTTAAAGTCAAATCATTGAGTCATGAGCATATGTATGTGCAGGCCGAATGTGTTAGACAAACATCACTAAGTGAAAATCCGTACAAATTATTTGTACTTTTAGAGAAGTCGGGCATAATCAAGTCAGCTGGGTGTCAGTGTGTTGCGTAAGTTAGATTATCAAAAATATATCATTAAATATTGCTAAAATTAAAATAGTCTCTTCTGTTTTGCAAAAATAAATTTTTGAACAGTATACAGATCAATTTATGAATAACTTGAAAATGATCATTTCTTGTTTCCTTCAGATGGAGGATAAGTGATATTTGTTTTGATATCAACAAATAGACCGGTTAAATGTAATTTCTAACAAATCAAATATTTGAAGCAAATAATTTTGTACTTTCAGTGGAGATGGAAGCTGTAAACATGTTGCGGCCCTGCTGTTTTCCTTGCATGATTTCATCTCTCGAAATGAGGACCGTAATACTGAAGTCTGCACTGATGTGCCATGTTCCTGGACAGTGCCGAGGAAACGCAGCAAACCAGAGTATTGGGACGATATCGATATTTGTGCTGATGTAGAAAAACCATCTAAAAAACCAACATGTGACAGTTATACACCATTTCCACCCCTCAGCCCTGCCGCGAAAGATGCAATTGAAAAAGATTTCATTGCTTTGATTAAAAACACTGACTCATGTATTGCCATAGATTATAATGATAGTGAGAGTGACTCTGACTGTCAGGCTCCCAAAAGTTTGTTCGAAATTGTGGAGTGTATTGATAAACCACGCAGTGCAGATGCTATTATGGAGGCATTCCATGGAGAGACAACAAATGATGTTATCAACGCTGTTTATAATCTTACAATCTCTCAGTCAGAGTCAGATGACTGGTATAAGTATCGCCATGGAAGGATAACCGCCTCAATAGCCAAAAAAGCAGCTTGTGCAACAGAGCAAACACTCTCAAACCCTGATAATTATATCGCCAATGGAATCATGAACAATAACAATACTGACTTCACTGTGGATAGCATTGAGTTTGGAAAATTGCACGAGGAAACTGCCCGCCATTTATATGTCCAAAGTGAGAAAAAAAAACACACCCGATTTTCTGTGGATACTGCTGGACTAGTTATCAACAGTCAGTACCCTCACCTCGGGGCTAGCCCTGATGGGATTGTGAAATGTGATTGTTGTGGAAAGGGAGCACTTGAGATTAAATGTTCATATAGATTTGCCAATGTAAAACTTCAAAATGCACTCTCATCATCTACTTGTAAATATCATTGCACATTTAAGGACAACAAACTTAATTTGAAAAAATCTTCAGCATGGTACTATCAAATCCAGATGCAGATGTTAATAATGGACGTTGAATGGTGTGATTTTGTTCTGTATTCCACCAAGGGAATTTTAGTGTCAAAAATTCCAAGAGACTTTGGCTTCTGTGAGGAATTGCTTGAAAAACTCAATGTGTTTTATAAAAGGTGCATTATTCCAAGGCTTATTGCTCAATAACAAGGTTTTAATGTATTCAGTGATAGTGTAATGAGATATGAAAAACTGATGTACTCTCTGACTGTACTTTGAATGAAACACAAATGAAAATAAATAAATAAAATTGACTCATCTCAATATAAGTTATGTTTCAAAATGAGGTCTCTCTGGACTAACAGCTGACAGTCTCAGTATGAAATAAATATCTTCTTGATCAAAGTTATATACATGCCTGGTCAGATTTATGACATATTGGTATATCATGAAAAATCCCTGTTGACTGGAAATTCCAACAATCATGGTCATGGACCAAGAGCGTCAAAAAATATTGAAGCTTGGATATTTCACCAAAGTTATTTTCATTATCTTTAAAGAAACCCCCTCAATGAATATTATTTCAGCTGAAATTCCTTCAGTTAAAATCTTGAAATGGGTGAGTATCTTAAAAATTTATAATTAGAACTGGACTCCTCTTTTGAACCTTCAAACTAAATTTAACCTTCTAAATGCTGAAAGTCCATTGTCCATACATTTAAGGAAAATAGGTTTGACAAAGAAGATATCTCAGAAAATGTTCCCCTCTTCAGGCCTTGTTGCCACTTTAATTTAGAAATCAGTAGGCTTCCTGAGAAATACACCTGTACCAGTACACAGTTGGACAAACAACGTTTTAATGTCAATAAAGTTTATTTAAAAATACTTACTAATAATAATACTCCAATATTGTAAAATATACAATACTACCATTTTCACTACAAAATAATAATAACTAACTAAAAACTACAGTTTAATATGTACATACAGCCATGAAGATGGTCTCTAGCTATTCACAATCATCTAACAAAAGGCTGAATTGTGAAAAGTAACCCCATAAATATGCTTAGTTGCTATAATATAATATATATATGATACTAATAAGATACAAAATTGCCACTTAAAATACCATGACTAGGAGATTTCAGAAAAAGTAATCCCATCAAATGATTCACATTATAAAGATAGAAAGTACATAAGAACTACCTCTTTAGTATCCCATGACTGCAAATTATCCTAGTATTGATTGTATGTAAAAACTAGTAAGAATATAATATGAATTATAAAAATACAATATTGCCACTTTAAATCCATTGCTTTGACTGAGCAAATTGCAAATTATAATACAGATTGAAAGTAAGATTGACTAGTGATATCACGAAGAAATAGTATTCTACATCTGTTTGATTGCCAAAACACTAATACTGATTGCCAGTTTAAATTCCATTGATAAGAAATCCTACCATTGTTAAATAGGAAAATAAAACATGGTATAGAAAGAGTAAGATTCACTTTAATTTAATGAATTATACTATGAAATTCTACATATTCTTCAGTGTTGCTAAATAGTGAAAGTGATAATGATGCAATTTCTCAAAGGCAGTCAGCAAAATATAATACTAATATTTCATGACTTTTGACGTAAAATCCTTCATTAGAAAACTTCAACTTTTGAAAAATGCAATATTGCCACTTTAAATCTATGACTAGTGGACTACCTAAATACTAGTACTACTCTAGTATATACAAGATACATTATTGAAGGCCTCTAATTAAAAAGAAGGTCAGGTTATATATTTAAATAAATAATATAAAAACATGTATGCATTGCTACTTTAAATGATGTGGCAAGAAATACATCCAATCATACTACTCAGTCACAATCTTAAAAAATAGGGTAAATTTTGGAATGTAATATTTACAAAAATGTTATATTGCCACTTTAACTATTACTATGAGATTCCAGCAGTTGAATAATACAAAATACTTTACTTTTAATCATACACTCAGTCACAATCTTAAAAATAGGGTAAATTTTGGAATGTAGTATTTACAAAGATGTTATATTGCCACTTTAAGTTAATGGCATGACTATGAGATTGCAGCAGTTGAATAATACAAAAATACTTGACTTTCAATCTCAAACACTAAGTCACAATCTGACAATATGCTATATTGTCAAATAAAATATTTACAAAAATGTTATATTGCCACTTTTAGTTAATGGCATGACTATGAGATTGCAGCAGTTGAATAATACAAAAATACTTGACTTTCAATCTCAAACACTAAGTCACAATCTGACAATATGCTATATTGTCAAATAAAATATTTAAAAAAATGTTATATTGCCACTTTTAGTTAATGGCATGACTATGAGATTGCAGCAGTTGAATAATACAAAAATACTTGACTTTCAATCTCAAACACTAAGTCACAATCTGACAATATGCTATATTGTCAAATAAAATATTTACAAAAATGTTATATTGCCACTTTTAGTTAATGGCATGACTATGAGATTGCAGCAGTTGAATAATACAAAAATACTTGACTTTCAATCTCAAACACTAAGTCACAATCTGACAATATGCTATATTGTCAAATAAAATATTTACAAAAATGTTATATTGCCACTTTTAGTTAATGGCATGACTATGAGATTGCAGCAGTTGAATAATACAAAAATACTTGACTTTTAAACACTCAGTCACAATCTGACAATATATTGTCAAATATTGTATTTATAAAGATGTTATATTGCCACTTTAAGTTAATGTCTTGATTCCAGCAATTGAATTATACAAAAAAAACTTTTAATGTCATCATTCAGTCACAACCTGATTATATGCTGGAAAATATATATATTGGGGAATGTTATATTTATAATTAAATATGGGATATTGGAACTTTAATTTAACATCATGACTATGAGATTTAAATACTATAGTAAAACAACAGCATGAGACATTTTGTCTTAGCTAGAAATGTTCTTGAATGATAGGCTACATTTCAAGAGACTAGTAATATTGATAAAGATAACTTTGGCAATAACATTATCTGAGAACATTATTTTAATATAAAGAACATTTGTCGCCACTTAAATATCATCAACTATTTGTGATGAAGTCCATGATAACTTATGATAATATAAAATGATATGTACATGTAGCTTGACATTTCTTTGCTGCAATAAGTAAACTGCAGCAGTTACTGTCAATAAGTTTGAGATTCATTGTACAAAATGTTCACTTTTTTACCAATGGTGGAGATAGGTTGCATAAAAATGCACCTATGCCAAGCATTTGATTCATTAATGGCTTAAGAGTTAGTGGAATTATGTTTCCAATCAAACGGAACCACTTAAGTCGTCCTATTGCCCGCTCTACATGGATCCTGAGTTTTGCTATGGCCCGGGTTTTCTTAATTTCACGTGTGTTTAGTCGTTTACCCTTCCCATGTTTGGCCTTATGAGTGAATGGTGGCATGTTAAGAGTGGCTTTCTTTGGCAGAAGAAGATCCTGGATAGTAAAACCTCGATCAGCCATTATGCTGTCTCCTTCTTCAATGTTATCTATGAATCCTGAATCCTTCGTGATATATCTGTCAGAAGCATTGCCTCCATATAGTTTAGATATAAAGTTGAATGACCCCCAGGGGCTTACAGACAGCAAAACCTTGGCAGTGTTATGTGACTTATAAGTGCTATATGTGCAACTTTGGGCTGTTGGATTTGATGGCTTCTGAACAAAGAATTCACTACAGTCTATTATTGCTCTGGTGTTTGGATAGCTTCTCCTGAAACCTGTGGGTAAGTTTCTTTTAGTTGTTTTCTTTGAGGCCCACT